AGCATCTTAATGTTTAAAATTCTGTGCCACTGCATTAAACAGAAAGCTACTTCTCTTTAAGAGAAGTCCCAAAAACATGAGAATGTAATAGAAGTCCATGGACATTTTCAGCTTAATTCAGTCCAAAAAGAGGAATACAAAATCCAGTATGTATCATCAGTTTAAAACTTTAGAGCTACATTTAGGATATGTTGAATAACCTGATACATTTAATCAAAGTATAGAATATGTAGATCATAGTTAGCTTCCACCCTAAAAAAATCTGATTATTTGATGAAATAGGAGCCTTTTCTGATGCACAATACACAGTGCAACTGGGATGTCTCCAGTTCATAGTAAAAGAGTCCTGTGTGATATTGGTGGCTCGGTTTACCAGTCTTGACTTGCCAGTTTCACAACTCTAAAGAAATGTGTTTTTCTGTTCAAAGACAGCTAAACTAATTTGCCCAACAACTCTTCTCCCCAAAGGTAAAGCTAGTGCCCTTTTTGGAAAGCATATTGAAAAAGTAGGGATCAATCTGTTCTTTGATTTCATAGATGTCCACAGACCAAGATGTCATCTGTTTGAATTTACATAGGTTTCTGATGACACAAATTACATTTAAAAGTTAACTAACCGTTCAAGGCTATGAAACTATAAGCAGACCTCAATTTAAAGACTGCCTAGGAGATTTCTGGAGCTGGAACTCAATTTTAAATCACCAAAACAACCACCCCTTACCACAAAATGGCTTGTAGCTCCGCTATACCCATATACAGATCACTACAACTCAGCCAGTGATAGTGGCTGCGTGACATCACATTTACATTATCGTGATAAAAACAAATATATTTTTGTTTATTTTTACTAAAAACAATAACAGCAAAATCAGAATGAGATTCTATGTAACATCTTCCCCTTTTCTCGTATTTCATGTTATCCTAGTTTTTCATTTGAATAAGTTTCAAAACTACAATTGGATTTAATTCTTGATAATATAAATTTCCCCAAATATTTCTCTGGTAATTTAGTTTCATATAAAACATTTAAGTTCAAGTAAGTCTTTACGCGAGCATGCTAATGCTATCCGAACTCAGATATTTATCCATAAATAATAAAATTGTTTCATTATAAGATTTTTAAACAAAAGCAGCATTGCAAACCTCTACCTTTTCCCCTCAGTGAAGATGTCAAACGCGGTCTCCCACTCCCTGAACCAGAGGCGCGCTGAAGTGAGTCGTCACGTATGGGAGTCACAGCCCCGCAGAGAGCACTCCAAAACCGTTAAAAGGTCAGCCAGACCCTGTGAGACAAAGTACGGGTGTTTTCATTGCCAAGTCATTTTAGTGAATGCTCAAACATGCAAATATAAGTGAGTTTATGCCGTAAAGCAATCAAATTTTTACATTTAATTGATGTGGTCCAACAGATCTCAACCCAGCTTTTGAGTAAAAAAAAAATCAATATTTATAACGTGTGTGTTTCGGATTCTCGCAGATGAAAAAAAACAATGTATGGACTGATGATAATCTTTGTCTGCAGACAGATAATCAAAGCTGGGGTTTAAACGCCTCTATCCCTCACAGACAAGTTGGTAGGTTTATGTCTATACACAGAAACACTTACTTCTCTTCAGAAAGAAAATAAAAACAGCCTTTGAAACATTCTTTTTATGAAACATTTCCACATATTTCAGCAATATATTTTTATTGCATTTGTGAGTCCATTCATCTATCTACTCATCTGTGCCTGTGTATGCTTCCCAGTGTTATTGTGGCAGTGTCTGGATCCTGTGGCTCTATTGTGATTAATGTCTGACTATATGGGGCAAGAAGGCCTATAATAGAGTTCCCCAGCTAAATTAACTACCAATACGTGTGCAACTAGCAGCAGCGGAAAATCAAATGCTATTGCCAGACCAAAGACGACTTATGTAAATCAATGTGCATCTGATCTAAATAAACCTCTTGCAAAGTCATTTTGAAGCCAGCATTACTGTTCAGTGCTTTCTTTAATCTTTTATATTGGTTAGTAAAGCCAGCTCACCGAAAAACATCCTGCTTGAAGTCTAAAACACCTTTCTGAATGGACTTCTTCCTAAATCAGAGATGACATAGAAAATGACTCGACATAGAACACAATTCCCAGTGTTAAATCACCACTGCTGATGTCACTGGACCTATATAAAGAATGCCTTCGTGTTACATGTAAAATAGTGCGAGTTAAATATAGTTCCGCAGCATTAGTACCGATAGTGTTGATTTAACACTGTTGATTTTGCTGTACAATCCAAATGTGGAAATGAACAAGAGTAACATCAAAACATTTTATTCCAAACACTAAGCCAGAGTAAAATCATGAACACCAAGTCCTAGTAGTGTTAGTTCAAGACCCAAACACTTTGTTTGATTAATACATGTTAAAAAGACAAATGAGTTATAATGAGTCGTGATTCAGAACTGTGATAGTCAAAATGAAGCAGCTCCTGAATGAAGTTTACTTTTAAAACTTGCCAAGTAAATCTTCTTGGTTCTTGTCTGTGTATTTTAAATTGAACCGTGGCACTGTTCCATCCATGAACACCACTGAAGTGTTAAATTAAACAGGCACTGAGGGTGTTGTAGCTTCATATCTGGACCAAACAAATTACTGTCGCTCTCACATTGTCATAGAAGATCAGCGCATGAGCTGCAGAGCCCAAAACCCTTCCTGTGATGGTGGGTGACTGTTTGTGTTGGCGAGTGATGAGTGCACAATAACAGCGCAATAAGAGCTGCATGGATTGCGTGGCTTGCCAAACTCATTTGAATGATCCTGATTTGAAAGGGATCTGAGTTGGTGCTACTCCATGATTATTTTGGATGCCTAAGTATTGTTTTAATGCCTGCTCTGAGGAAAATGTTGGCACAGATCAATGTAATTAAACTGGTTCGGATACTCATCGCAGCTGTGAATATAAAGCACAATTAGGTTATTAACAATGTAATGCATATACAAAACTGAATGTAGAGCATGCTAAAGTTCTTTCAGTAGCCTTTCCCCTCACCTATACTCTACAAGATTCATGCTGTGTACACTGTGAGAAAAATCTGGAGGGACCTCCGACAATAATTGGGATGACATGCAAACTCCTTTGATAAAAGCCTCAGTTACTGCACAGTAAAATCCTAAGAGTTAAATTAACTCTATTTGGAGTATATTTGGTCCCACTCTATATAGAGTTAAACCGACTCTGAGAGAGTAATTTAATAATCTATTTTCTTCATGTTTTTCCAAATCTGCTTGGAAAATGCAAACTAAATATTAACTATTTAGAGAGGGACCAAGTCCACTCCAGAAACAGACAAAAATAGACTGTTTAGTTCAAATAGACTTATTTAAATAACTCTCCTTCAGAGTTGGTTTAACTCTATATAGAGTGGGACCAAATACACTCTGAGTAGAGTTAATTTAACTCTTAGGATTTTACTGTGTGGAAAGGGGGTGCACGGCCCACCATAAAACAATTGTGATGCTAATGGAACAGGGACCTCTTCTAGCCTGCTTTCCAGCTGTAATCCAGTTTTCAGGGGTTTCAGACTGGGTGAATAGTACAATATTCTTCTAAGTACACTTACCAGCCACTTTATTAAGTACAACTTGCTAGTACCAGGTTGAACACTCTTTGGCCTTCACTATGGCCTTAATCCTTCGTGGTATTGATTCTATAAAGGTTCATGGAAACATTCCTCAGAAAGTTTGGTCGATATTGAAATGATAGAGCAAGCAGTTCCATGATGAGATCTGGTGACTTTGGAGACCAATTGAGTACAGTGAACTCATTGTCATGTTCAAGAAACCAGTCATTCTTGGGTAAATTGGGTACACTGTGGTCATAAAGAGAAGGACATGGTCAGCAACAATACTGTGGCACTGTGGCTCAGTTGGTACTTATGGTTCTAAACAGCAAATTTTGACTCTACACAGGAAAAGAGTAAAAGTAACTCTATTTAGATAACATTTGGTCGCTCTATGAATAGTTTTTAAAGTTGCTGAGTGGCGGTGTTATTCATTTATACAACAGTCTTCATTTGTTTATCCATCAAAGCAATGTAAAAAACAATAACTTAAAAACAAACCTCATAGTAATATTTTTTTTAATGGCCCTGCTTGAGGTCCATGTTTTAGTATGCGATGGCACACCAGATGCTCCTTAACTTTATTAACCGTTTTTTTCCGTAGCCTTCACCAGTTCCTTTTGCCAGATGTTCTGCACAGTGAGTTAAATATAATATTTTAGACACAAACGTTCTCTCATATTTTATCTTCAACATCATAATTAAAATATGCTTTTTGTAAAGTGGTTCGATCATCCATTTAGTTTCCTGCCAGGTTTCAGGGATGTGAACGTAGTGAAGAATATGAAATGAGCTTTGAAATGTCTCTAGAATTGATGAGGCGCATCGGTGTGTTTAACTGCAAAAGAGAACTTGCAAATTTGTTTGGTGCTTTGAAGGAGAGTGGGAGTGGATGAGTCTATTATGTGGTACATGCTCAAAGCTAATAAGAGATTCTGTTAGCGAAGCAAAAAGAGAACAAGACCAAAAAAAAAAAAAAGAAACTGAACCCAGAAGCTAAATGTAATTAAAAACTGTGCTCGCAAGCTAATGTCAAAGAGGCAATGTCCAACTAAAAAGGCTCCAGGCAGAAAAAAACTAGACGCACGTTCATCCTCAATGAGGTAGAGAGGTAGATTAACTGGTATTCCATAAACACCTGAAAGTGCGAAATAAACGTGCCTCAAAATCACGACTCCGCCCACAACAACCTCTGCTTCGAGGAGAGACGATGCCTTTTTGTCTGGTGATGGAGAAGTGCATCTACCTATAAGTGTCATTTTTTACCACTTTGAAGTAGCAATTTAGCACTTCAACACTTCAACCAGTTTACATTTTAAACCCCATGGGACCATGTTTGATCTAGGCAGTGTTAAAATTAACACTTTAAGTGTTGGATTGACACTACTAAATTTACTAAGAGGCCTTCAATAGCTCATTTGGTAGAGCGGAGGACTGCAGCAGGTAACTGGCAATCCTTAGGTCACTGGTTCAACCCGAATGAAATATCGGGCGGCACGGTGGCGCAGTGGGTAGCACTGTGGCCTTTCTGTTAGAAGGTTGTCGATCTGAAAGGAGTTTGCATGTTCTCCCCGTGCTTGCATGGGTTTCCTGCGCATATTCCCAAAAACATGTGTTAGGTCAATTGAATAATCTTGAAAGATAGGCACCAGCAGACCCCCAGTGCATAAAATGTATAGAGGCATTGGCTGTTTGAACTGGTTCTGTTGGCCAACAAAAATAAACCTTAAAAAAAAGTCACTAGTAGATGTAGCAAAAGGTGGTAATATTACAGAAATATTGCAGAAGCTTGTCATCACATTAAGTTCAACTGTAGAAGCAGAGCCATCAACAAACTCGACATCTAGAGACAGCGCAGAAGCAGCCCAGAGTTCACAAGCTTTCTGAGCGAAGAATAATTACACAGAGAAGTAACTATCCATAAAGATTCGGAGGAGGAGGAGGTCACTATAGCTACTGTGAGCTTGTTTGATGAGTAGA